CTGGTTGTGCAATCGTTGGTCGTAGTCGGAGATATAGGAAAAAAGAAGGAAAAGGAACGAGCAGGCCGATGGCAGGATCGCGGGCATTCCTGTGCAATTATAGTTTCCTTTTATCGCGTTGATCATACACCTGGATCGAGGAATCCGGTTTTACACACCGAGCAACGAATGCGTAATGCGTGTTCATTAGCGGTCCCGTTGAAAGTGGCTGCACGAGGATCTATAATATTCCGCGGACGTGATCGATTTGCTTGCGCTAGGAACGGCTTGCGCGATAACGCGGGCCAACGTAGACACAGGTGAACGTGTACGCGTGTAAATTCGCGAGAATTCCAATTGAATTAGCTCGCTTGCGTTTCCCAATGCCCGAAGGTTGCGAGAGTGACACGTTTGTTTACACATCCTCGCGACTGATAATTAGGACTCTTAAATTGTAACACGCAGTGACTTTTAAATTGTAACACGTAGAGGTGGACAGAAGTGTTCACGCGCTTGATGAGAAGTTATCGATACTTTGAACTGTTGGAATCAAAAAATTGTGCAACAATCGAGAAAACTCTCTTAAAACGAGAGATCTCTACTTTGTCGATCTTGACTTCTCCTTTCTCGAAGATGTCTTTCATATTTAGCAGCAAATTTAGAAAAACAAGGTTCCGCATACTTTTGTTGTTGAAAGTTTGAACGCCTTCGAAATCACTGTGGAACATTTTTCGTAATCTTGAACGTTAGGTAAAAATTCGAGAAATCCAAACATTTAACTCTAATGTTCAAAGTTCGATGAAGTGAAAATCATGTGAAACGTATTATGGGACGATAAGACCCTATAGAATTTTATATTAATTTAATTTCTTAATTAATGTAAAATTTAATTTAATATTTAATTGGGAGAATTATTAAATTTGATAAATTTTAATTAATAAAAAACTTTAATTTAAGAAAATTTATTTTGATTTTTAGTTTATAATTATTAGATTAAATTACCATAGGGATAACAGCGTTGTATTTTTTAAATAGATCTTATAGAAAAAAATGGTTGCGATCTCGATGTTGAATTAAGATAAATTTTAACTGTAGTAGTTTAATAATCAAGTCTGTTCGACTTTTAAAATCTTACATGATTCGAGTGAAAAGATATCGTACAACAACAAGTTTCAAGACCATGGTAGATTTAGTTATGAAAATAATATTTTTAATTTCATACTTTTTTGATTTTTCACAATTTTCGAGAGCAAAAGTTGTTAACACACCTTTGAAAAGTACTAGCACAGAGTTAGGCCAACAAAGTGGAAGCATTTCAAAGTCAGACAAACTGAATCGTTATACTCTTTTCCTTTCCACGAAGCTGTGACAGATCGAAATATAGATAATTTTTCATCAAACGTGCGAATATTCTGTTTGAGTTTCCTGTTGTCGCGAAAGAGCAGTATTTGTTGTTAACCTTCTCCATTCCGCATCCATATTTTATTTCGTAACTTTATCAGAATTGCTGGTCGAGAGAAAAGAATATAACAACTTTATTTCTGTCATTTCATCTTCTGATCGTGACAGTGACCATTCAATGGCTACGTAGATACGTATGATCTACGTAGAACTTCGTAAAAAAGCAATATCGGGCAGTCATTTATTCCCAAATTTTTAAAACGATTTTTGCCCCGAATGAAAAAAGGTGAAACTTCGTTGGCGACAATGATTGCCTGGATCGATTGGCCAGCTGACTCGTGAATCCGTTGAAGGCAATCAAATTCAACACGACGAATCGAAAATTTCGCGGATCGAAATATGGTCGGCGCGAGTGCAAACGCTTCCACGCTCCTCGCGCGTAAACTGGCGCACGTAACTGCAGTCTTCGTGTCCCGCTACGCGGTTTATGGGAAACCGTCGTTATTTTCCGGCGGAACGAACATTCAAAATCGCCTGCTTTCTTAAACAGAATTATTTTGCAATGGAGCACGTAATGGTAATTTCGTTGCGAGATTCTGGTTTACGGGCAACAGGTATTCTATTTGCAAGCGCTTGTTCGTTAGGTAAATCAATTTGCCGAAGTTACGTGGAAAATTGGCTCGGGAGGGGTGAATTAAGGCAACAAAGAGGAAATTGATATAAAGTGATTTCGTGGTAATTTGGTAATATGATCTCATCAGTCGTTAAAAGGCCAACGTGGCCTTTAGGCGAATATTCAGCACGTTGCGAGAAGGCTTGTTTAACACAATTTTTACTTTTAGGCTTTTATTCGAAACAGATGAACGCGTGTGAGAAATGCAACGAGTTTCACAGATGTTTCATTTATAAACAAACTGTTTAATAAATTGCCAAATACTACGATCGACGCGACAAATATTTTCACCCCTTCGTGACGAGAATTTTCATGCGTGGTTCAAGTTGCAAATTGATGTTACGTTCGAGGTGACGTCGAAGGACGTTTTCTCGGAGATCGTTTCTCGCGGTGCGCTTTACAATTGCAAATAACACCACACACACACACATGGTTGAATTACACATGCGTTACGCGCCACGACCAATTTTCTCGTCGTCTTGCCTCTCGAGTGAAAGGCAATTCAACGATATCGCGGGCTTCGTGTTTTTCTCTGCCTCGATGCGTCGTCGGTGTCTTCTTTCTTCCATCGTCGGGTTACAGCGGCGTGGAAAAAAACATTGCTGCGTGGAAAGTTAAGGTTCGACGAACTTTTCGACGAGCGCAAACGGCAATTAACGCGGCGCTCGATAAATGGTAAACGAAAACGATTCGTTTGTTTATTTCTGTTTCATTCGCTCCAAGCGCACGAAAATTCAAGCCACAAATCTCAGTTAGATATATATCGACGTGTGTGTAATTTGAATTTTTATTACCTGCCTGCCTGGAAAGGCAGTTGCGATTTAAATATATGACACTGACAAATGGATGTGACGAATTATCGGCACGTTCTGAATGTTCGTGTCGACCAGGACACGTCCTCTTAATTCTTTAGCGAAACTTTTAGCTAAAGACGCGCCGGAACACGGGGAAATTCAGTCTCGTAAAGTTTCTCGAGCAAAACTTCCCGCGAAGCAAGAAGTTCCCCGCGTCTGCAAGAATAGCGACGTCGTTCGTCATTTTCACCATTGATAGAACACCGGCGAGAACTCTCGTCCGACGGGTAGCGTAAACATTTCGAGAAACATGCTTTTCCACGATTTTCCATAAATCGTTCACCTGTCCGCTCGTTAAAGAAGGTCCCTTCGTTTCTCTTGCGTAACACGCGCGTTGCTCGCATATTTCAAACCCCCTTCCTCGGTTTCTACACACTGCAGTGTACCTGTATCGCGTCGTGTGTCATTATCTCGTAACACCCACGTTTCTCTGCTCAAGTCTATTACCTTCGCCGGAGATCTCGCATTGTGAATGCAGTATATGTAAATAGAATAGACACGCGCGAGCACCGTGGCAAGATTGTTGCAACGGAACGCGCAAAACGGCCAGCGTTTACGGGTTAATGGGATGAATTACACGATACAATGCGTCGCCTACGCGGCCGCCGATTGTTCTGAAAATCGATTCGTCATCGCGTAAACGCGGGTGAATTCGAGCGCGAACGGGGAACTCGAATTACCCGCGCTTCAACGTCGATCTCTTTCGCAAACACCGCGTACGTTTTCGTTGGAAAACTTCTCGTAAAATATTGCCACATATTTTTTATACGTAAGCAACATGCATTCAGACACTAAATATTGAAACTATTACAATTATAAATAAATAAGTAAATAAATAAATAAATATGTATTATTATTATAAGGTATTAATATACATTATATAATATATTATTACAATTTTAAATAAAACGAAATTGAGTAGCAACAAACCTGAGTTCATTTTGAAAGTCCAAACCTCTACTTTTACGATATTATAAAATTATAAATTACCATTGATTTTATTCGAAAATGTGTTTTTACCTTGCGTAACAAATAAGAACGCTCTTTTTTTAAAAAATTTATATAAAAATTTAATATAATTTTAATTAATATAAATTTAATAAATTTAATATTAATTAATATAATTTTCTATAAATTGTCACAGTATGAAAAGACATTGAAAAATTGAAAAGATATTGTTCGCGATTGAATTCACAATAAGTATGAAGATTGAAGCCTCTATTTGATAACTCTTTCATCTCTTGAAATTCGCTGTAAGATTCTTTTTCGCTAATTTTTTTACTGACCTTTGAATAGAGTAAGACGAGAAACAATTAATGAAACGCAGATTTTGCGATTCCTTGAATTTCTAATACTCAAAGTTTAATAAAATAAAATTCATCAGAGTAGATCAAGTTTCAGGAGGTCATTCTGAAGAGGAGATCTCGATCTTCAAGTTTACCGTAGAATTCAGTCGTGAAAGAAGTTTTTATACACTATGACAATTTATAGTGTTCTCGAAAAGACAAGTGTCTTCACTTTTCCATCCGCCACGATATGACACAAAACGAATCTCCGAGCGATGTACTTTGAATGACGTGTTTCAAAAATAAGGGCTTGAAAACGAATCCAGGTTACGTTTCACGAAACTGCAACAGTTTCAACATTCAATCAGCGAATATCGACACGAGTAGCTATGTCTATTTTTTTCGAAGAATTCATGGAAATACTGTAAATTGAATCGAGCGATATTCACAAAGTAAAGGAAAAGTCGATCATTCATCTTTCGACTTTAATTGCAATCCTACGCTCCCTATCCTCCGCGCATTTTCTATCGACTATGTAGGTTCTTGCTTAGTGCTTTGAGGCGAGGTGATTCGGCCAAAAGTTGCAAGGCGGAACGGTGCTTCGAGGGCAACCGTGGCTCGATATCAAACGAAACTGCAAGGGTTTCCACGCGCGCTGTATTATTATACGAAGGAAATGTCGAGGACGACGTTTGTTGAATCGTCAGCAATAACTGTACAGTTCAAGCGTGTAGGCGAAACGTTCGTTCGCGTGATCCAATTGTCCAACGATTTTCTAACGATGGTCGTTACGTTCTTACGTTGCAGGCGTACATGAAGAAGGAATTGGGCAAGGTGGTGGTGTACACGACGACCTCCGGCATCGTGAGGAAAACGTTCTACAATTGCAAGAAGGTGAAGCAGATCCTGAGGACGCATATGGTCAAGTACGACGAGCTGGACCTGTTCGGGGACGCGGAACTGCAGACCGAGTTGAGAGATCGTCTGGGCTCCACGGTGATACAATTGCCGCAGCTTTTCATCGACGGGCAACACATCGGAGTATGTAAACCTGTAGAAAGGAAATCGGAAACAATCGATTCGCGAAATTTTATTTCATTTTATTCTATTTTTATTTTTTTATTTTTTTTATTTTTTTCTGAAAACGAATCTCGCGAGAGTGGAGGAGAAATCCCCGTGAAAACTTTCCAGGCGAGCGTAATCGCGGCGAATTATGCAGCAGCAAATTGTTTCTAGTCGAACGCACAGGCTGCCGTGGCGTTAGGCAGCAGCAAGGTTAGATCTATCCGCTCATTATTCTCGTTAATACGGTCGTGAATAATTATCGATGCTTATCGAGGTCTTCATTAGGATGCGCGACTAATATTCTATACGGCAGGCAGTAGCGGCTATGGCAACTATTAGCATAAAACTTGAACCGGCCGTTCGCTGGTAGATCGGGCCACGTCGGCACGTGTCACGTCTGCTCGCGATAAGGTGCACATTCCACGATTATCAACGTGGCAACGACGTTGAGTAATGAAACGTGAGCATCTGTTGGTGATGGTTTCAACGAGCTGCGTCCGACGCAGTGCGTTAAACAGGCACTCGCCTCTTCGTCGTTATCGATTCTTTTTCGCCCGTTCACGAGCAATCGTTATTCTTTTTCTTTTTCTTTTTTCCTCTCGCGAACACGCGTTAAGTTTCAGAGAGGAAACGAGCTTCAACCCCGTGTACGAGGTAACGGTAATCGCGAAAATATGGATGACGCGTGAGAGACGCGCCTAACTGAGTAGATTTGGCCCGAGTTGGCACGACACGTTCTACTTGCGCGCGGTGAAACTTTAGTAGTACGATGTCGTTGGGATTGAACTACTCGGTAGGTTCATTTTTCTTTTTTTTTTTTTTTTTTTTTTTTTGTTCTTTGTCTTGGAGAACTTTTTCTGTATCATCTAGTTACAATTTACTTAAGCATCGAATAAAATGATATAGCATTGGAAATAATCATTTAATTTAACACGAAATTTTGTTGATTATATCGTTTAAATTTAAAGCAATCATCAATGCGCATTGCGGGTTTCCTAGAACACAAGTGTAATATCTAAGAATTCCAATCTCTGGAGAAATAATTTCTTTTTTCATCAGAAGCGATAAGAAGTCTTAGGTGAATTATTCCAATAGAGCGTCAATTGACTCAGGACTGTCCTCAGGAATTTCTTTTTCTGAAATTCTTTTGCTCTTCTTATTATAGCTTCTTTTGTTCTTATTATTATAGCTTTCGCTCCAGGCGTCTGTTCATATATTATACTGTTACATCGCATCATACAACACCAAATGTATACGTTTATTACAATTATCAGCAAGAAACAATTATTATCAAAAAATGGAAGTTCGAGCTGTTGGTGCAAAAAGTTCACAGTGCGATGCATGTGAAACTGTGGTAGCGTTGATACTAAACGCAATATAAATCTCGGCCGTTGGAAATATAAAGCTATTATAAATGAAAACATATGGTCCGTGCCGAGTCTTGTATCTCTCCAGCGAAATCGTGCTATAGAATTAAAACTGTAAACGCACCAAATTGTTAAATTATATGAATGTCAAATGTACGCGTTGGTTGAAAAATTATAAAACATTAAAAAGCCTATGAATTTATTGCACGTACCTAGGACGCTAACAAATTACCAACGATCGACTGGCACGTATAAGTTTGCACGTGTCGGGCGATCGATTTCGCGATCACGCTTTTGCTTTTCCCCGTAAATTTCTCGCAAGGACGACCGTTGCACAACCAACAACGTTCGAGAAAGCGACCGGGAGAAATCAACCGAAAATGTCAAAGATGACGGACGAGCGTTGAGCTACGAATCGGCCGTTAAACCGGAAATCTGCACGCACTGTTGCGCAACAAGCGTATTGACTTGAGAAAGCTCTTTTACTCCGCGAATTGCATCTGCACGCGCTTCTGCCGGCCGTTCCATCGATCATAGAATTTCGAGAAGTTTCAAGTTACGCAGACAGCTAGCTGTTCTACAGTCGATTTACAACGATGGCATCGCGATGGCGATTTCTTTTCTGCCGCGTCACGCGCCATTTGCGCGAGTGATCGAAACTTCGAGAAGGTTATATGGTGATTTTTGAGTTGGAATTCCGTGGAAAGAGAGAGAGAGAGAGAGAGAGAGAGAGAGAGAGAGAGAGAGAGAGAGAGAGAGAGACGAAACAGCTGTTCGTTATTCGAAAGGATGTTTGAGAAAATGAAAACTTGTTCCGTGTGGAGAAGGCCGCCAGATTTGTCTAGGTTTCCGAGATCCCAAGGTCACAAATTCATACACATTTCTTTCAAATGGCATTATACATTAATTGATACAGCTAATACGTCGGAAGATTTGCTTAGAAGATATTTTAATATTTTTGGTTGTGCTTTAATTTTGTACAATTTAACTTTCGTACAACATTAATTTTGTAAAATTTATCATACGAAAGACGATTGTATTCGTACTTTGCTTCTCTTTTATATATAAATTTTACAAAATTAAAGTTACAATGTCTCTCCTCGACTAATAATTTTTCGACACACGTAAAATGTTAAAACGCATGAATCAATTAATGCATAGAAAAATAATGTGTAATTTCATTCGACAAATTCCATCTAGAGAAATCTGATCGGATCATCGTGATGCAGAACAAATTCTACTTCACAATTTTTCGAACAATAAATAGTCGCGTTCGAATAATAAATCGAATGTAACAAAGAGAAGAACCGGATGACGCAAAGAGTATGAAAACCAATGAAAATTTTCACGGGTGAAAATTCGCCCCGGTACTTTTCCTATTAAATTTTGGGGGAGCGGAGCACGCGCTTGTTCAGACAGCTGTGAAGTAACAAACGTGGAAAATAAAAACTCATTTTTCACATTGGGACCTCGAAAAATTGTTCCATCCCCCGGTGAAAGCTCGTAATTTAGCGTTGACGCGTGATAACAAAAATGAAACCAGTAATGGAATTTCCGGACAACGCGGAGCGGACAACTATAATATTTATATATACTATACATATACAGGGTGTCCCGGGGGGTTTTTTTTCCCCGCCAAACTGCGAGAGCCTATTCTAGGGGCCAAAAGAAGAAAAAAATGTTGTACGAAATTTGTGAATTAACGCTTTGTTAAGGAGATATAAACGAATAATGATAAACAGTTGCTCGCTATTTTTAAAGTCTCGTCTCAAAATGATGTCCTTCCGCTAGTATACAAGCTTGACATCGACGAAAAACTGAATTTATTGCTCTACGCAGTGTCTCAGTATCTTGTTGCGTTTCAATAACTGCATTAAAGTCACTTCGGTCGAGTAAACCTTTTGTTTCAAAGTACCCCATAGGTAAAAGTCGAGCGGTGTAAGATCAACACTTATTTATCGACACTCATCTCCAATTATGAAACAGGCTCGTGCAAAGGAAAGGAGTGACTGAAATACTGAAACTCAATAAAATACTAAGTATCTATTTTTGATTGTATCTCTGTAATGAAGCGTTAACTCGCAAACTTCGTGTAACATTTCTTTCTTCTTTTGGCCCCTAGAATATGCTCTCGCAGTTTGGCGGGGAAAACCCGGGACACCCTGTATATATTGCGGATATAACGAGAATGGGTTTTCAGTTTCGGTGTTGCGTCCAGCGGAACAGATGATTTCACGTTCGTCATTTTTCTTCGCGCTCGCGGTGGTCCTGTTATTATTACACGCGTCGCACGCTGTTTTTCCGCTACGTTTGCTCCGCCACTTTTACTCGCTTTGCCAGTCCAATGCGCGAAGAAGAAAGTTTCGCGCGAATTTTAGATTTCGCCAGTGCTTTGATCGCTCGCGCGGAAGCTGATGCTTTCGGCAATGTCTTCCGAGTCCGATCTATCGGCGTCGGTATCCTTTGTTGGATTGATAATTACGATATTCAATAAACTGGCAGCATCGTCGAAGAAAGTGCTCGTTCTAATTTCGTAACTCACAGCACGGAGGGAAGTTTAAATTTTCCGTAGCTTGGGAACATTAGGACATGGATTCAGAAAGGAGGAATGTTATCAGGAAGGGCACAAACGTAGTTTCAATTGCAAACTTACGTAGATATCGTACGAACGAATATTTCTTTCAAGTTAAGACGCAACGGAAGATAAGTGGATCTTTTATAACGTCAATCGTGCACGACCGGTGACTGACGTGTCCTCGTTTTCGCGAGGAATAATGACTATTCGTCGTTCAGCATCTTATGAATAAAGACAAGGAATGATTACCGGGAGAGGGAGAGAGAGAGAGAGACAAAAGAATTGAACTTTTACGTTCACATGCCGAGTGAGGGTTAAATAACGTTAAGATGTAACCCGTTATTATCTCGGATTACCCGTATTACCGCCCGTAATAATATTAAGAAATCCTCTTTAATTTATTTCAGCCATTGTAGCATCCAACCGGTGGAAATTTTCTTACGCTTTCTCGAATTATCACTGTGCAAATAAATTGTTCTACTTGAGATACGTACTTGTCACTTAACTGTTAATATTATCAAGTAAATCACTTGGTAAATTATCGTGACTGACAGTTCTGAAAAAAAAAAGAATTCCAGAAAGAGTGGCATTACCGATCGCGTGTCTACCGAGAGCATTGACTATCGAGTATATCTAGTCGGGACAGATTGAGGGGCAGGATGTAGGAATTATGATAACGAGCCAGCGTGACCTTGATTCCCAACTCTACCGATTTCCTGCTTTTGAAAGAATTCCTCCCGTTTTCAACCGGACACAAAACGAAAGCACTGGTTTTATCGCTGGTATCGCCGTGGCAAGCCTTCCAAGTGTTTAATACCGCTCGAAAGGAAACAAACGAACGTGCAATTACATGTCGTGCAATTAGAAGCACGCTCCGATAGTGGCGCGGCGTGTGCAATTACATCGCAACGTGCCGGCTAATAAATTGCATCACAGGGAGGCTGGAGGAATTCCGAAGAAATTGCCAACGTTGCCTCCGATCGTTGTTCGCGAACGAATGCCGATTTCTTTTCTTTTTTTTTTTTTTTTTTTTTTCTGACGAACAGGTTACGCAATTTCAGGGAATATCGAGCGTTAGAAATTTCCTAGATCAACGCAAAATGCGTATACCGTTCGGAGCAAATCGATTTTCAATTCGTTTTCTGCCCATTCTCTTTTCGATTCGCAGTAACAAAAATGGATTTATTTCATCGTCAAAATGAATAGTATTTGCGAGATGACTGCAGCAGATTTTTCACATTTTCGGAAATTTTGCTGTCAACGTGACACGTTGGCAAGTTAATGTTGAAAGAACACGCGTAATCGAATTGTAAGCACGCACTATGAACTTATTGTTAGAGTGATCTGTAATTGACTTACTTGGTCTCACTTTTAAAGTGAGACCTCTACATTGACAGTCGTGAATTCGTCCTTTTTCTCGGGCATGAACATTTTTAAAATTCAAACTCTCGCAAAAGATCATTGAAAAACGTTTTTCACGCAACAAAATCGAAATTTTTCCTTTGCAACGACCTCTTCAAACTCGCTACATGATTGTTTTCGCGTATTCAATTTTGAACTTGGTACATTGATGACGAAATTTTTTTCTTCAATTGTTTGATATTAGAACGTTTAATAAAATAGCGAAAAAAATATCATGCAACAAACTTTAAGCGATCGCAAAGAGGGGACTTTATTCTTCAAATAAATCTTGTTACAAAAGTAAATTTTTAATGCTTTTACATTCGTACACTTAAGGTTTGAATTTTGACAAATTTTCCAGAAGAATGTATTCTAGCTCCCGCTATATTACATAAAATCGTCTTCGAGAGACACTCGCGACTGTCGAAATAAGAGTTTCACGCTTTAAAAAGAAACTAAATACATTGTTACACGACCATTCTTTAACAAAGTTACATCAGTTTAAATTGTCAACAATTTTCCATTGTCGTTGCACTCTTCGCGCTCTGCGTTAATGAAAACGAATAACAGAGGATTTTTGTTATTCTCCATTTGAACGACCAATATTATTGTTCAAGATTATTATCGTTCAGCGATTATTCAAGAGAAGCTGCGGTTCTATTTGCCACGCTATTCCACTTCAACGCTTTTACGACGGAGACGCGGCACAATTAGGCGAATTGCACAGCGCTGGAGGAGAGAGATATTTTTTAACGGACAAGCCGAAATTACTTTGTATGATATTTCCTTTCTGCAGTTTGCGGCGATGAAATTTCCCAAGTTTAAATGAAGATTCTCGTACGAATGGTAAAAGTCGAGTGATCGAGAGAGGAAGGAAGGAAGGATTTAATTACATAATTACGTGTTCCCGGAAGTTTTGTTAACGCAGAAGGCGTTATCCCTGCAACGAGGAAGCGTGTATAAATATATTACGGGGTATAATCTTTTTTGTCTAAAAGACTGCTTGTTTTAACGAAGATTTAAGGGCACCTTCTCACGATTCTTTTCTCATTATTGTTTCAGCCGCTTGAGAATTGTGTAGCTTCTCTCCCGTGTTACAAATTAACATGCACGCGATACAGATACATAGAATCTATGCTAACGCATGAGGGTTCGCAGGTTGAAAGAAAATGGAAAATCTTTTAAATAATCAAGTCACATCTAATCTTTCACTTTTCGCAGCTTTCATCAACACGTAGATACATACAACGCCAACGCCAGTTCATAAGTTGAATAGAAAATCTTTCAAGCAATCTTTGATCAAGTCACTAATCTAACCTTTAACTTTTCGTTAGCTTTTATCAACACGAACGGCATCCTTTGAAGAGGTAAAATCTTAAGATAGCGAAAGTGCGAACGAAACGCAATCTAGGATATTACCTTGAAACGAAATTACCTCGCGACTTAATAACAGCCGAGTCGAATCTCACCTGTTATACTTTGCTGCTCGTTTCTCAACACTTTATCTGTCGGAAGTCTATTAATCTGCTTTCTTTTTTTTTTTTTTTTTGTTGATGGTTATCGATCGCTAGATAATTAATCGGGTTTTCGGTAGTGAACGGTTGTCGATCGATAGCTTATTAATTACTTTTTAGTTGTCGACGATTAAAATATTTCAAAGCAACAGAACGAAGAAAGAAAAAAAATAAAATAAAGTTAAAAATTTTTTAAAGAAACACTAAAAAAATTTATCACGTTGTTATAATTTAACTGAATCTTACAGCAAGCGCATTTACTGTACTTTCGTCGAGTATACCGGTCATTTATTGATTTATTCATTTTTTACCGGGTAAAGAAGAATACCCGTTAGTACAAAAGTGATACAATTATAAAAAATTTTTTAAATTTAACGAGATATGAGACTAAGTGGAAAATTACAAGGTACTAAGTAATGAACGTTTAAAAGGTGGAAATCAATGGTTAAAAACATAGATCAAACAATGTGCATTATTAGCGTTAATAAATATACGATTATACGGATTGAAGAAGCCATAATATGTTCGATGGTGTTCAATGTGAAGCAGCTTTCAGAATGACGTAGTGATCTGGAAGGAACATTAAGTTTAAACATTTCAATGATATTCGGGCACGAGATCAAAAAATTGAATATTTTGTCAATTGACAAAAACCAAGTCAGCTATTTTCCTGCGATGTTCAAGTGTGGTCAAATTTAATTTAGTTAGAACATACTCGTAATTATGAGAATATCTTGGCATAGGATCGCCACTGATAAACTGCCAGGCGTAGAAATTTATGTTGCGATCTTTCAAGAGCGTCAATGTAGGTGTTGTAATAGGATTCCAAGATTGGTCTAACCAATGTGCAGCAAAGTAAACTTAGCGTGGTCGTATCATTGAAAAGTCTAGCAGTTCTTTGAATAAGACCTAAAGATCTAAAGGCACGCGATATGATATTTTGGAAATGTTCAGCGAAAGACAAATCATGTGAGAATTCCTAAATCACGAATCGAGTCAGGATTATCAAGGATGGTGCCTCCGAAAGAATAATTAAAGATCTTCAAATTAATTTTACGACCAAACCTGATAACTTTGCATTTGTTAAAATTAAGTAATATAAAGTAATATAAAAAATTAATTATTACGACCAAACCTGATAACTTCGCATTTGTTAAGATTAAGTAATATAAAGTAATATAAAAAATTAATTATTACGACCAAACCTGATAACTTCGCATTTGTTAAGATTAAGTAATATAAAGTAATATAAAAAATTAATTATTACGACCAAACCTGATAACTTCGCATTTGTTAAGATTAAGTAATATAAAGTAATATAAAAAATTAATTATTACGACCAAACCTGATAACTTCGCATTTGTTAAGATTAAGTAATATAAAGTAATATAAAAAATTAAGTTATAATACTTCCAATCTCGTGAGATCATTCTGAATTAAATTCATACAGAAACGATGATAAACAGAATGATACATTTTTAAGTCATCACCTAGAAATAATTAAGCACGCACGTTCTCGAAATAAAATAAAACGGGGTTAAGAATCTTCTTGCCGCCAAAAATTCACCTAGCCAAATTCGCGAGGATATCATTCGAGGATATTTGCCTGGACTCGAGAGTGGAGGAATTGATCGACCATCGGGATATCGGAACTCAAAGCACGCAGGCATCGACTCGACAATTTCTGGCAAATTCTGTCGCGTTCGCAATCGGTGTCGAGCTATTCGAGCGCCGAATATTCCCGATTCGGCTCTCTGAACACGTACGTGTCGACCGTCTGCAACATCTACACGATCGCGATTGCCCAATTTGCCGAGGATGTCGCGTTGGACGACACTGGACGCCACAGTTCTCGTCTCTCGCGAGTGAGCGGCTTCGTCTCGGTCACCACACCGCGCCGGGTAATCGTCGAGCGTGGATAAACGCGAAATGTCAAACTGCTTGGTCCAAGGCCTATCGAGGGAGCAGAAGAGAAAGAAAGAAAGAAAGAGAGAGAGAGTGAGGCAAAGTTTCTTGCGGTGTGAAGGCAGCACGGTCCTCTGTGGTCTCTCTGGCGAGCGCACGAACCGCATTCCTCATCGACCACGCCACGTGATAGTGGTATTTGATAAACGGCTTGCCTCGAAAAGCCTGCGGAACAGATGTCCGACGCGTGTAATTTGTATCGTTTGTGCCGTGGTTTCGTTCTCGTCGCGACCGATCGATGGATCCAGGAACACGATTTTGAATTGAAAGGTGAAAGGCATCCATCGTTCGCTTCTTTCCTTTTTTTCTTTTTTTTTTTTTTTTTCGTAATAGGTCACGGCGCACAAGAATTGCGCGTGGATGAATACCTAAAGAAGCAGAAGAACGATCTTTCGAGGATGTTAGATTTTCGAGAAATCGACGATTGTATCGCTAATGGAAATCGATTGGTTAATGAGTCGAGTTTTTGAAAGATTTCAACGACGGTGGTTTTTATCTGTCAAGGAGTGGCACTGATTCGACCACTGGCGAATTCAGTAATAATGTTCGTTAATGCCAGAAAACACGATAAAAACCATTAGGACTAGTCTTTTAGTTTGAAACCAGTTTTTGTCGCTCATTAAACCGGATTAAAAATTGAAACACGTTCTTCGAGACCTTTTCTCGCCTTTTCTTGTTTTGTATTTGCGTAATAGCAAGCCCCCTTTCACTATTATATTCTGTAAAAAGGAAAAGAGAAGAAAAGAAAAGAAAACGAAAAGTGATAAATAGATACCATTAAAAATAATTGGTATAGTTAAAAGGCAATCGTTCGAACAACCCGACTTCATGAAATGTTCATTACCAACAGCTGTTGTCGCGTACTGTACGCGATAACGCGATAACCGCTAAACGCTCGACGATAAAATACCGTGGAAATAGGAAAATCGCTTGACAGCGAAGCCATGGTGATTATAGTAGGTTTCAGACGCGTCGTAAATATTCCCTCTTCGTTTGAAAGCCTGCGCGATCTTCCAGCGTCCAGTAATCACGCCTCGTAATTGCTACCGATTATCACCAACACAAACACACGGGAATTCCTTTCGTGGTTTTGTCGATCCCCTGTGCCGCTATGCGTTTCATTGAAATACAAATATTTCTTTTTACAGGGATTCGACACCGTGGAACGACTGAACGAATCTGGAGAGCTGAGGGACATGCTCAAGCCGTACCAGGTAATTAAACAGTCCTGGCTTCATATAAATCACCACCTCGCGTCAGAGGTTTCCTCTTTGTTCGAACAGTTGAGAAACGAACGCTGTTTCCTTTATTTTACGGACAGTGATTAATTTTTGTAAAGCGAATATGCAAGGGCATGGAGAGCAGCATCTTGCCACATGATTGATTTTCTTGTGTACGCTACTATAAATACGAAAGTTGCCGCCGGCCTGCAACAATGTCGACCGAAGATTCCTTGTTTGTGTTGTTATATAAACATCCACGGCGAAAACGATTTCACGTGTTATAATTATAGCCGTGTAAGAATAGCTGGACGGCCAATCTTGACGTTGAAACTATTTTTGTAATTTTGAGCGCAGCATTTAGTTTAATTTAACACCTATGCGCTGGGGAACTGGTTCGCGGACCATAACGAGTGACCGTATACAATAATTCGTCGCTTTCTTTTTTTTTTTTTGCTTTTGAACTCGTCGGTATGACATCACTGGATAGAAATTGTTGAGAGGTAATCAACTTGTCATTTGGTTACATTTAAATAAACAAAAATGTACAAATATATACTTGAAACCGAGGAAATGTGCAATTTGGGACAAAAAATTCTCGACGTGCGTAGCACGCTATTTCAGCGCAAGAGATTGAGAGAGAGTATGTTCCTGTCGATAAAAATGAAAAGAACTTTCCGTTATTGCGAAGGGTGAAGAAAGAAAAACTCAACGCTGACAATTTTTGTGAAAATCGTCCAGGGTAAGGCTTCATAGTTCACAAATTCGCAAATTGTCTGGATTGCAAGTTCCAATAGCGTGGTTAACAGCAGAGCTGAAGCATAAAATTTCCATCGGAGGACTACAGAACGAAGTGAAAAAAGATGAAAGAGAGTACAGTAAAATACACAGGCCTTATTTATATAAAATATAAATTTAAATCACGTGAAAATACACTGTCGAACGCGGACGTGTTTATGTTCCTAAAAATACACCGTTTCGAATCTATAAAATTTCCTCGCGAAAATTATAATATTCATCTCATCTCGTGTTACTCCGTCGAGTCAAATATTTGCAATTCGATACTCATCACAGTCCGACTCGATTCTCCAGAGGGATTCTCATCTTATCGTACTTCAGCAATCTTTTGTCAACTCCTCGAGGAGGGAGTTACGGAGAATCCCGTCGATATTCCTGTACGTCGTCGAATTATCTGACCCTTTAAGAATGCCTCGCCGGTTCCGAGAATTCTCTACGTAACTATGTTCCACGTCCGCGGAATATTTATGCCATGCAGAAGAATGGAACAGCTGTGTCAAGCGTTATACACATAACTGCGAGCCATAAAGGAACGTTTGAGCGTGTTGGCGGGCGATCGCGCGTAATCCGTCGCGAACACAAGGTTGTACAATCCTTTCACTTTTATCCGGCGATATCTGCCTCCACCTTCCTTCTCCATCGCGATCATAAATTTTCGACGTCGTGGCAATTGAGGTTTACCTTGCAGCGAGTAAAGGTCGTTTACACTGGTCGCTCGCCACTATCACTTTCCCGAATATTCTTTCCGCGCCTGTCGGCCCTTAAACCTCGCCTCGGCTGTCCTTTGGACTTATGCGACAACGCAAGGACGCTTTCCTCCCTCCTCCTCTTAACACGTGTTTCGTAAATTATTCAACCTTTTCGATTCCTCGAAGATTCCAGTGATTTTTGAAAATTTGATGTTTACGAAATTGTCGAAACCCTTCGACTAAGTAAAATCGTTCATATACGCCCTCTGAATTTTTCTCGCACTATTTTACTGTTTTACTAAATTGATCTAACGTAGAATTTATCGTCTCGCGTAGCGTAGCAACTGCAAACAGTCGAATATCGGCAACTGTTTCAATGCTCGCTGTTGTACGTAGTCACTGAAAGACTGAATGATATAAAACAAAAATAACTTTTACAAACAGGCGTTTTTTTTTAAATTTTTTATTATTTTATTTTTAGAAATATAATTAACGGATTTTTTTTCTATATTACGTGTAAAAAGCAACGATTGAAAATGAACAAATTACGACTGTTTCAAACCCTTCATTTCTTTCAGTGGCCACTCTGCATAATTGTTAAATGTTTATTCATTTCGATTTATGATCAATTTCCGTAATTTCATTTGTTCGTTATTCTTCTAAATGATAGAGCGTGTCCTGTAAATATTTGGCCAGAAGAAAAGAAAACGAGCAAATATGATCGAAAGTAGTGAAGACAGTAGTTAGTCGTAGCGAATATCACGCCTAATTTTCAATCTTCTTTGATCTGTCGTCGATTTTTCTGAAAATGGTTTGCAAATAAAACCTGGGATTTTCGTAATCGTTGTTCGCGATCGCGAGGTTAAAGAGGCGTTTGCGGACGGTACGGAGCAAAATTGTAAGAATTTTTCTCTGAATGAAAGTTAATTACCGGACTGGTTTGACGTGTCTGAAAGACGCGTAATTAAACGACACCCACGACCGTCCCCTTTCCCATCTGTTTCTTTACGTAATACTTGCATAATGCATCATCGTTATTCTAATACTCCTTCGAACGATAAACACGCATTTTCGCGGCGTGCATATATAACATATAGATTCGTTTCATTAACACCGGTTGAATACCAACTGCATCTTGTCATCTACATCTGCTGCAGAATTCCAATTATACACCGGTGTTACGTCACTGTTCCATTCAGCTCTTCGCCTGCGTATCATTTGGCGGCGTTTATTGAATTTGAAAAGTACTTGGGCGCAGCCAAGTTCTCGAACAACAGAAGCACCATGTTAGACTGTGTCCTGATTCAATATCGTACAGCGACAAATATCATTGCTGTACGATCGACGGTGTATAGATATAGATCCGGCTGTCTCGATCAATAACGATCAGCAACGATTCATTTTCAAGATATTTTTGACAAAGTTGGCTCGTCTGTTTCACGAAACAGGCCGTTCTTTTCTGTTTCGCAACTTGACAATTTTAAGGTTATGTGACCGGATGAGGAATCGTCGATATATACTACTTAAAAAAAAATTTATATATATATATATTTATTCGAGATGTTCTTAATATATTTAATATACTTTATATACTTAATATATTTAATATACATAATATACTTAATATACTTAATACATTTAATATACTTTATATACTTAATATATTTAATATACTTAATACACTTAATATATTTAATATACTCAATATACTTAATACACTTATATATATAAAGTTATATATATATTACATAATTATACTATATATATTTATATTATAATTATATATTATGTAATTATATTATATATATTTATTCGAGACGTTCTTGGACTACACAAATAATTCTAAATTACATTTTAAACGGAAATTTAAAACGATGTTCCGGTATTGTTACTCGGTCTAGAATTTGTCTGAACAGTGATACACAATGAAACGAGGGAAGATCGTTTTAATTGCCCTTGCAAATTTGTTGTACACGCGAGCGACAGAATTAAAGCAAGAACGGTGAAATTACGGTCGGTTTCGAAGTCACGAACGTTGAAGCCGAGGAAGTTGAACAGACAATTTCGTTTCTCACGACGTTCTTTCTCGGGTTGACACGAAATTGTTGAAATTCGTCTTTTTCCGCGAGGATCGAAAATGAGGTAAAGTGAAAGCGATGTTGAGCAACATCGCCTAATACACTGCGTACGTCGCATAACAATAATGCAGAAGTAGAAATCGTCGCGCTCCTACAATCGTTGAACCGATAGAGCATTCAGCAATCATTCAAGCATTAGGTTCAGCACGCTAAAGAAACGAAATACATATAACTTTGTCCTCTTTTGTCGACTATTTACGAGAAAAAAACGGTGGGTAGTAAATTCGTGAACACCCTGCGTACAAAGTGTCCCAAATTTAAGTGTAAAAACTTTGAGAGTGTGTAGGGGATTGGATCAATTTTATAGGATCAACTTTAAGAAAAAAAAGTCCTTTGGAGATCTGCTCGTCCTTGCTCTACTTTGGAGGAAATCACGAAAGAAAACGGAACAAAAATGTTCTCGTTTCTTGGTATATTTATTTAAACATGACTATTAGTGTTATTATTTATTTTATCGTTCATATTATCATGTGTTATCATCTATATCATCTGTTTAATGAAGATACGATCGTTCAAAATGCTGACCTCCTGCAATAACGCAAGTATCACGTAGAGTCACTCTAACTGTAGACATTGATCTCCCGATATTGCCTAGTCTGTTGAGTTGTTTAATAATCATCGAATAAACTTACTGAATAAATAAGAAAATGAAAACCTTTCTGTTTCTTTTTTTACAATTTTCTACAAAATGAAGCAAAAACGAGCATAATCTTCAAACGGCTTCCTTTTTTTAGATTTTTTCTTCCACAATATATATATATATATATTTAATTGATTCGGATAAGAGACACGATTGATTCTGGATATTAGCAAACCATATTTGATACGATACTGACCTTAAAATATACCCGATTTCGTAACTTTGTTCCACTTGGATTCTAATTCCAAGTTCGCCGCGTAGTCTTTCGTTTACGCGTACGTGTTCCTACATTTTTTCGATCAAAGAATAATTAAAATTCTTCCGCCGCTTTGAGCACGAATTCTCGAACTTGTCTCACGTACACGTTCCACATTTGGAATTCATTCATTCATTCATTCATTCGCGCACGTTTCGATCGAGACGTCGTAACGCAATTAATCGCCGAATCTCCATCTGAGCGAGGTGTGATCTGGGTGTATATGAACGATAAATACGCTCGTGTTCATAATACTTTCCTTCCACAATTACACGCCTATTGTCAGTCGTTTCTGGCATTGTTTCACCACCGGAAACACCCAGAATATTCACCACCATTGTGCTTTTCAATAGGGCTATTGACTTCTTTCTAACTACGTAGACGCTTGTTGTCATGTATCTAGAATAGCCGTTATTCTTTCAACAATTAAACAATAATATTACAGTGCAGCAGAGAGAGAATACGCGGTACTAAGAGCTGAAGCAATAAAAGCTAAATAAAATCAACCTTTTCCGGATCCAACTGAAATATGTTAACATTTAATATTTTGGAACACACTTACGAACAGAGAACAATTCTCAAGTGTACATCCTGATTTGCACGGCCAGCGAGAAAGATTTTAAAATAATGAATTTTTCTATAATGATATATTTCTTTTAAAATTTTATAGGAAATAAAAATTCCATTTTATCTATAATTTTGTGCTTGAATATATATATATATATAGTATTCATAAGCAAATATTCGAGAAAATTTACCTAGGGAAAATTTAACTTAAAAATACTAAAATATTTACTTGGAAAAACTTAAAAATACTAAAATATTTACTTGGAAAAATTTAAAAATATTAAAATACTAATTAAAAACTCAAAAATACAGTATTTTAAATATATTGTTTAAACAAAAGATTTTTTTGCAAGACGGTATACACCATTAAATTCGCCGCTAAGAAAATACTGATTTCATCAATTTACAAAAAATATGGTTTCAATAATTTCCGAGATATTTGACATGTTTCGCGCCCCCAAATTTGAGAGTAGTTTCTACCCTTCAACATCGACCACCCAATAAAAAAAAAAAAATACTCTGGTCGAATATCTTTAATATTTATTTTGGAAAAATTTGTCGAAAATAAAATTTTTTTACATATACTGTTTAAACAAAAGGTTTTTTTGCAAAACAGTATACACCATTAAATTCGCCGCTAAGAAAATACTGATTTCATCAATTTACAAAAAATATGGTTTCAATAATTTCCGAGATATTTGACATGTTTCGCGCCCCCAAATTTGAGAGTAGTTTCTACCCTTCAACATCGACCACCCAATAAAAAAAAAAAAATACTCTGGTCGAATATCTTTAATATTTATTTTGGAAAAATTTGTCGAAAATAAAATTTTTTTACATATACTGTTTAAACAAAAGGTTTTTTTGCAAAACAGTATACACCATTAAATTCGCCGCTAAGAAAATACTGATTTCATCAATTTACAAAAAATATGGTTTCAATAATTTCCGAGATATTTGACATGTTTCGCACCCCCAAATTTGAGAGTAGTTTCTACCCTTCAACATGGACCACCCGATAAAAGAAAAATACTCTGGTCTTTAATATTTATTTGGAAAAATTTATCAATAATACAATTTTTCACATATACTGTTCAAACAAGAAGTTTTTTTGCAAAACAATATACACCATTAAATTCGCCTCAATTTACATAAAAATAATATCTTCAATAGTTTCCGAGATATTTGACGAGATATATGAAAAAACACGCGGATCGAATATCTTTTCGGAAACTACATTCGAGCAAAAATTTTATCAAAATCCTTTCCCTCGTCGGAGAAACGCCAATGTCATTCACTCGCATACACGGTCTGACTTTTTATTTTCCAGAGCGAGGACGCGTGCACGGTGTGCCTGTTCTGCGGCGGTTACCAGTGGCAGCTGTGCCCGGTTTGCAACGGCAGCAAGAGGTCCGTCCATCGCAACGACTTCACCGCGGAATTCGTCGCTCTCAAGTGCGCGAAATGCGACGTGAACGGCCTGATTCGCTGCCCCCATTGCTGAGAAATCAGGAAGCGTGCTCGCACGTGCTCGCAACGACGTCGTGTCGTTCCCGATATCAGCTATCCCTTCATCCCCCTACTAAGACTAAGGTGCTACGAGAAGTATATTCCATGTTAAACACGGTTAACGGAAAGGTTCTCGCTGTCGTGTCAGTCAAAGAACCAACAGATCCACTATGTATATCGCACCGATCGTCCGTGCAGGCGCTGTCTCGGCTCGAATTTTCTCCTCTTTCACTTCCGTTGGAATTTCCATTCAACGTTGGAGATGAATCACGGGGAAGTGCTAGCGAAAGTTGGAGATAAAAACGGCGCCGGCACGCTCGGTCTCGAGCACGGAGCACGACTCGCGGACGCTGTAAAATATCGACTAATAAAGCTTATCTAATGTTTTGTAACGTGCAGCTCGTGTACTTGTCTCTTCGCCTTCCTCCCTCTCCTCCTGCGATCTCTCACCAGCCGTTTTCATGCCAAATTTCTATTCTAGGTACGTACGAAGCGATTCGCAAAAGTATCGAATTAGCTCGTTACAGAGTAGTAAATTTTCGTTGAAACAATTTCTAAGGAATTTAATTGTCGTTCAACGTGCAACGACAATTGTTCCTTAGCCGCTTCCTTCATTTCTAATTCCGGCGGTTTCGAGCACGTTTAAGCTCCGCAAATTGAAAATAAACACAAGTGAACTTCTAAATTCGTACGTCTCGCCGTTGAACACACACGTTTGAGGATTCGCTCGCTATGAGCTGCGAGTTTGCACGCGCGCGTAACAATTTGCAGCTGCTTGTTTGTGAAAGAAAAGCGGACGCTTAGTGGAAAGTCGCCGGCGAAAAAACCGAGATTCATTCCGCGTTGACTGGTCTGCGCGACGACAAAAACAGAAGAGGGTGACAGAAACACGTTACCGGATTAACGAGTGTATTTTTGCTTCCTACATGATCCGATTATCGCGCAAAAAAACTCTGCAATTAACGTCAGAGACGACCCGTGTAATTGATTTTAGATTAAGATTCGAAACTTCCTTCCAGAGTGATTGAAACACGATTTTCCAATTCTCGATTTTTTCAACAATAAATTTGTGAACTTTTTCTTCTTTAGCAAACCTTGCCTAATATTCTGAATTTTATTTACGATCAATTTTCATTCTGGATATCGTCCGATATTGGTGTTCATTATTTGACTTTGAAACGTGTCGTTGAAAATACAGCGATATTTCAACGATAACAAAGTGATACGTGAAAATCCGCTTCCACAAATAATTTACATCATGCAAAAATAACGTGCACACCGGCAATTTCCAATAACGAGTTGTGTACGAGTAATATAAAAATTCGTGAGTCGAAGGGGTATTGACACGGGACGGGCTTTTTCTGCAGCTCTACCGTGTATTTGAACGAAAATATAAAATATTTTCAACAGTTTAAAGGTAAACGTTCGTTCCTACAATAGTTGACTCGATATCATTCGATAACATTTCAGTACTTGCAATTTTATAATTTTTCTAACAACACAGATTTAACACTGCAGTTACAATGTGTGTCAATACCTTCTCGACTCTCGAGTTTTTATATTTCTTTCTCATATTATTATCGTATGACTCATTATTAGAAATTGCTACTTTTCACCTCATATATGTAATATAATATATATATTGTTATAAAATATTATAAAATATTATATATATATAATATGAAATATTTATGAAAACAGATTTTGCTAATGTATCAATTTATTTTCACAAAAATATCGCCAAAAAGTTACCATTTCCCATGCATTTTCAACATTTCAAACGTTTCGAAATTGCGTAAGCTTCGTTCCAGAAAACAACGTGCGAATAATTTCAAGTTACTACTGCCAGGTGAATCACCCTGTGTGCACGATCATTTGTGATTTATCGACGAGCAGTAAAATTAGAAATACGGATTATTTCGCGACACGAACGCGCGGTATTTAAAAAAAGAGGAGGGGAAGCATTTGTGCGTTAATGCACGCTAACGTAATTAACGACGGAAACGATAACCGCGGGGATGGCTCGATAACGCCGGAAATCACCGTTCCGGGGCTTTCCTTAACCCTAAAGCCGGTCGTAAGTTTAGTGTCTAGTGGAATACAAACTCGCTCGGTCCGTGATCTCTGGATATATTTTATTCTTCGTTTATTATCCGTAACTCGGTGTCGCAGTTACTACTTAATCGATACGCCATCCACTTCCATCGATAATACGGCTCACGCGGCGGTGGCTGCCTGATTTAATTTTATATCACTGCTAACGCGCTGGAAAGACGTACTCTCCAATACAGGATTTCACTGTTTGGTAATTTCGTTCCGATTGTTTTTCACGTTAACTATTCATGCTTAAATTTTCTTTTTTTAAACTTTAACTTATCTTTCACATAATTACCAAAATTAATTAGGTCAAATTAGAACTACCAAAGTACTATCAAAATGGTCAAATCTGTAATTTTTCTTCTTTCTTTTTTTTTTTTTTTTTTTTTTTTCTTTTGGCGGAACGAAACAGCAGCTGCTTCGTAATTTTATGGGGCATTTGTGACGGAACGGTATTACATACGCAACTGTTACACACTATCGCCAACGAGTTACGTTCGTCATTTGGCCGCACTGTTTTAGTTCAACGCGTGTATCTATTTTCTCAACGGGGGGGAACACGTGGAACAACACCGCCGCTCAAAAGTTTTTATTTTTAATATTCAGTATAAACATGTCATCAAGTATACATGTTTTGTAATAAAATAATAATATAATATATCAACAGAGTCAATAATACATTAACAGAGTCGTTGTTGTATAAAGTATGTTTTATATGTATAGTAGTGAATTTTGATTTCATTGTATATTTTGTAATATAATAATACAATATATTAACGTACTAAGTCTTTATCGTACAAATCGTTTTATATTTGTTACATTTAATTATTATGTTGCATGCATTGTATTTATTGTAAATGCAACAATTTATATTATATATTAAACATTATGCATACAATTTATACTCTTATACTGTAAATATTACTAAATATATATTTACCAAATATTTCATTACATATTTAATAAACATTATATTGTAAATATTTACTACATGCAATTTATAATTTACATTTATTGTATTTTTTTCTTTTTTATACAAATACAGTACTTGTCCTAAAATAACCAAATAACATCCTAACCTCAAACTTCCAATTCGAGCTGAAGAAGGAATATTTCCATTCAATTTTCTCCGATTTTTTTGTTGGAAACGAAATAGCGCGATGAAAGAGGAAAAATGTTAAGTGTTAAATTCGTATGTATGAATTATTTTTTGTATAAAGTGTAACGCAACGCTCGCACAGGACTCGCAGTATCGTTTTTTCTGGGCAAGCAGCGTTTCAACCGGAGAGTTGCATCGAATACAATTGACACAGCGCATGCGCAGTACCCAATGTACCCAATGTACCCAATGTACCCAACGTACCAACCCTTAAGACCCTATTTATGCGGCCCAAGTAACATAACCAAAATGATTGGAAAAATAATTGAATAAGAATTTTATTGTTTGAATAATTTAACCCACAAATAATCATACCTTTTTTAATTCAGCGTTAGAACGACTAATTTTAACTTTTGGTATGCGTACCAACAAATAAATAAATAATACTGGGTTATTTAACGTAGTGCAATTAAGCGTTTTTCAACGAAAAATTTCGTCGTTCTCGATGCAGTTGGTGATCGAACTCCTACCTCTGTATGGCTACCGTGTTCGGTACGTGTATGTATCAAAGTCTGCGTAGCGAAATGGTTAAACCCTCGCATGACGGGCCGTACTGGCCGGTGGCCGGGTCTCGCGAGACCCAAGCTACTGAGTACATATATACATACACGTTCCAATGGAACAATGTACGTCTATATGTAGTCGTTAGTAGCTGGTCAATTTTATTTCTTTTTTGTATTTTTATTATGACTGTTATAACAATAGGATAGTAGGAAATAAAAACACCTTTTGCTACTTTCATTACCTATAAATAATATTATTTATTCTCGCTGTATCTAATACGTTAGATTGCATTTATGTTTGCTACAAACAAAATTATGACAATTGCTACATTTAGCGTTGTATTTGTTGTCATTGCCGATGCAAATAAAACATCTCGATCGTTTCAAGCTTGGAAGTTTTAAGTTTTAAAAAATGGAAAGCACTAAGAGACTGAAAAATACTAAAAATACTAAAGAATACAAAAAATGAAAAATGTTACAAAACTAAAGAATACTACTAATGAAAAATACTGAAAACAATGCACTGAAATACACTTTCGACCATTCGCTGTGACTGCTTCTTCAAAACTGACTCGTACGTGCGTTCGTCACCGATTTGACTTCACATTGGAAACTTAATGTGATCCCATTTTTTATCGCCAAATCGTAAGTCGTACAGGCTAACTTTGTACGACTCATACACAAAGTAGGACTTCAACCGCCGACCCAGCTACCGTTATGCGAGGGTTAAAGTAACCCAAATAAACATTATTTTTTCCCGTGCGCCACTGTTCGTCCACCGAAATAGTAACGGTGACGCTCGCTCTTGATCCGCGGACGACGATCGCGCCAATCACTGTCCGATGGTATGTAGGAGACAGCCTATTTTCAGACCACTATTTTTGTTTTAAATGGCTTTGCGTTTGCAAACCTTCTGTCGGCCCGAAACGCACGCGAAAATCTCGGTGCATCACCGAACAATCACGCGACTCACACCTTGCTCGCCGCTTTCTCAAATGGTGCACGATTCTGCGTTATATACAGGGTGAACCAAAAATCACTTCCTATTGAAAAAAGGCCAGCAACTATTTGAAAGAAATAATTTCATTTTACTTTTTTTAAAACGTAACGAAAAGATCGCATCTAATATAAAATTAATAAAATTAATTGTTTCCTTATATTCTGATATTTTATTAAAAAAAAAAAAAAAAAAAAAAAATAGGTGGGAAGAAACTTTTGGTCCATGCTATATGCATGTATCATGTACGCACGACCTATTATTCCATTGATCAGTTCCAAAATATCGAAACATCGAGATCGGCGAACAGTTTGACTTCTCGTGGTATACTCGGTGTGTCTGATTAAAAAATACGGAGCAGCTGCAGCTCCTGCGAGAAGTAATTAGGCAGCTCGTTTGCCTACGTGTTTTCGATTAAAACCTGGGCGTGCGAGCAACGGTATCGTTCCTGCTATTGTTCAAAACGCGCGCACCACGGTTGCCGCGTCACGGCAGTTTCGAAGCGTCAAGTTGGATCCGCGCGCGTCGATCAGGAAAATTGCTAGGAATCCGATGACGTTCGAACGTGAAGAAAAGGAAGCGACCCCGACGTCCTAATGGATGTCCTCCCACTCCGCTCGCGTTCCACCGTGACACGAGTCG